TCATTCACATATTATACAGTTGTTTTTATATTAAATCACTATGTTATGTAAATAAAAAATGTATTATTATCTACGTGCTGTATATTATTTATTCAAACAGGACAATTCCATTTCGTTTTGTTCATTAAACATACATTATATTAATTTGTGCGATGTAATAATTAGTTCCAAATAGATAATATTGTGTAGTAGTAAAATTATATATCTTTTTAAAAATGTGTTCGGTCAAGTTCAACGGATTTGTAAATATATTTTACTGCAATGTTAATTTATACAACTATAGCTGGTGTTTTTATAAACATACTTCATAATAATATATACCTATTATACCTAGGTGAATAATAATATAATTTTGAGTTTTTTCCATGTTAATAAAGAATTTGTCGTATTTTATAATCATTGCTGTTCGTCCGAAATGTAAATTAGCTCATACATGTTTTGTGCATAAACATAAATTATTTACGGAAAATGAAACAAAATATATTTTTGCAACGAGATTTGTTTCATAAAGTGCATCAAACATATAAATTATAAAAACTATTTATCTTTCATACTAGATAGTATAGTTATTGCATGTAAAATATGAGATTAAAAAAAATGAAAGAAATGTAAAACTATTAGATTTTTTAAAACAAATTTTCATATAATGCACGTATATACTGAAATTCAACTGCCAGTATTTTTTATATTAAAGAATGAAAAATAAAAGTTTTTTTTTACGTTCAGCAGTAAATTGATTGAAACCAAAAATAATACTTTTATAAAGTTATTATTTTTTTTTTTTTACATTTTGTTACTGCAAATGACATTTGGTTTTCGAAAAATACTATCAATCACAAAATCGTCGTACCGACTGCCGTTTGGTAAAAAGAATTTTGAAAATGTATATTTCATAACTATATAATATGATACATATATGTACTGTGTATGTACATATATTATTTCAAATACATAATGTATCATATATACAAAAATATAAATCATTTTAATAACATTTATTTCCACCACAGCCGAAAAATCCCGTAATAATTGTGTTGTAAGTAAACACATTAGTAATGCAAATGGAAAGGAATTTTCTAAAAAGTGAAGTTTTTCGAGAAAGAAATATTAATTTCCCGGCGTACGTAGACCTGCTGTGTAACCTGACGATTTGCACCGCTGGTCGTTTTATCATCTATTTTATACAAAACCTTCACGATGGTAAACAGCGACGATATGAAGACACTGGGCTATTCAAATAGCATGCACAGTACAGACTCTTTTTTTATTCTAAAATAAAGCATTTATTTAACTTATGATTTTTAAGCTTTCAGAGGCCATATACTTCTCATATAAGCTGCATGTCTTCAAAATATAACACCTTTTTGTGTTATAAACAGTTGAGATCGTGATTTTTTAGAAAATATTCATCTTAAATTAAATAAAAATTCTTTCCACTCGTTTCCAAGTTATTAAAATGAAAATACAAAGTATATTATTAGTTGCCAAAAATTATTTCATAAATACATTCTAAGTAGACATAATATCGGATCTCTTCTTTGTTATACTCCGATACACTTTTTAAGACATATAAGATGATGATAGAATTCGGTATATAAATTACTATTTAGTATTTAGCATAATTTTTAAATTGTCATAACTCTCATATTGTCCAAATATATATTGCCATGGGTCAATAATTTAAATGTATAGTACACAAAGTAAAATAACTCAAAAACTATGGATGTACTAGATCCAATTACTGAATTACATATTGTAGATGAATCAAAATGTTCTAAAAAAATAAACCATCTGCTTAAAAATGTACAGTAAAAAATGGTGGTTTTCATCAGGAATTCATAGATATGTGTGTATCACCACGAGACACTCTTAGAATGACAAAAAATATAAGTGATTGAAGATATTTTCTACTTAAAAATTCAAAAAGCCAGAACAAGAACAAGTGCATAATTTAATGAAAAAAATTGGGGCAAGTATCAATCACCCTTTATACATGGGATATAATATTATCAACCATGCATAGGACATTCAATATTTATATATTATATTATGTTGCAACGCGGTAACTAATCAAATCAACCCAAAATTGGTTACAGGTACAACCGGCACAACAGAATATTATTATGTTATTCGAATCAAATACACTCATTGTGGACTGTATGCATGAAATACGTATGTGGCAATGTGCCATTAGGTACTGTTATGTTCGTAATATATATATATATTATAATATAGACGTACATCCACGTTCGATGCAGACAAAGCGCAGGTGTGGGTAGGTATATCGCGTGGGTGTAAGTAGTTGTTGCGTATACGTATACATGAGTATTATAATATATGGTGTAATGAAAAGAGCCTTACCCTCCCTCCCCCCATTTTATCATTTAGTTATGAATTTGTTCGAGTTCTAATTTCTTTGGAATTTTAAAGTAGATATCCTTTTAAAGATCACATTCACACAATATATTTAGATATTTTTATAATATTTAAAGAGCGTGATGTATTGTCGTTGGTACATTTAAGTTCGACTCTGACAAAGCACTCGGGTGGATATATCGTGCAAGTAATTACTGTATACCTGCTTTAATTGTATTGATTAAGGTGCACCAATATTTAATAAACAAATCACGATCCCACAGCCCAAGATGGCAACAGTACTCTTACTTTCTGATGCGCCTTGTATTAAGCATATTATATATTATACTTTTTAGAGTTATAAATTGGCTTAATTTTTGAAAGAAGGATTTAGACCACTGAAAATCTATCAGATCTCTGCCTATGCCCTGACACTCTTTCAATGGTATAAAACAATATAATAGTTACAAAAGAGAGCCATCAAGTATGCCTACATTAAAATTTAAAAAATCATAATCAAAATGATTTAATTTTAGCTGAAAGTTGTTAGTTATAAAATATAAATTATGGAAAGAAAACGGAGATAATTTGGTGTTTTATGATGTTTTAAATTTTAATTAAAGGTATTTATGAACCATACTGTAATTTCTCTTCCACTACTCAATAATATTGGATTGATGTAAAAGTGTCGTATCACTTATGTCGTTTCGTTGAAAACAATGTATATATCAATATATTTGGTATGAGTCGATGCACTATATTGCCATACGATTTTTAGTCTACAATATTCTATTTCAACTAATACACTATGTTGTGTAAGTTTAATAACTGTTTTAAACATTACCATTAAACTTATGCATATTTTTTTTTTTTTTTTTTTTAATTGATCCTGAGCCCGGCAACTGTGGCCATTAGCTATTAGTAGGTACTGTAGGTTTTTTGTATTGATGGTTTTGTATGTTTTTTGGTACGGTAGGGGGGAACACGTGTGTGTTTGTTTTGGCAGAATTTCGAATGGGGCACCCGTAGGTTTCTGCCATGCCCCGGGGGTGGTGGATGGCAGTTATGCATATTTTATATGTTAGATATTTGTTATTAATTTACCTTATATTTATTAAAAATATATATTGCATTATTATGATTGGGTACAATGATATGTCGAGGATATATGTATTGGATACATTTCACAGGTAGTAGATAAAATACATTGGTGTTCTTTGATCATAAAGACTATGATGAATACACCAATATAAGTTCACACCTGGTGTTTGAATCAACGCAATATATTAAAGTTTTAGTATAGAAATAAATTAATTTAACTTTTAAACGGGAAACGAGTGGTTTTAATATTATGTAGTATTGTATTGAATCTGTTTTAAGTGGACGTAGCACACCGTTCTTCACTGTGGTCGAATACAGTCTCCTAGCCTTGGGATAGTGCTTCAAGACATCGCATGGCCCTGGAACAATAATACGACAATCCGAGTGGTCCACGTGTGAGTCCTTCCGAAGAGTTTGAGTGATTCGAAGACAGTCCAATTGTGAAATACTGATAGCCCAAGAGTCCGAAAGACTGAGGCTGAGGTCTTAAAGGCTGAGACTGAGATCCAAGAGGATGATACGTATATAAAGCATAGCTAATCTTGGCATCCCCACTTTGTTGCACAATATCTGAATTGTCTTGTCTTTGGTTGATTATTGTTTTCTTAATTCCAATGATTGATTCATCATACTTCTGGATGATCGAGATGCAATTATTATTGTGTGATTATATGGGAATGTAGGTCACTTTATATGAATTGTTTCGTAATGTCTATATGTGAATTATGAATCGTATGATATAAGTCTAAAGTTAGGTTAATTTTTTTAAAGAAATAATTTAATTGTGTTTGATTTATATCACTAAAATACACTACCTAGTACTGGTAATATTCTTCTCATAATTTATTAATATTACAAATTATATTACAGGTAAATGGAACGAGGGTGTGATTCACACGGTTAGTGAACCACCTGTCCATAACACATTATATAGAGAAAGGAAATTGACGGACAAAATATAACTAATATTGTATCGACCGGTCTTCCGGTCTACCGTCATTCGTCGGTACATAATATTCGCAGTAATGTACACACACACAATAAATCACTGTTTATATTTTTAGTATTTACTATTTAGTAGTCACATCAATAACTGAAAATAGCTACAAAAATATTCGGTGTATTACAGTGTGGTTATTTCACCGTAACAATATTATGTACAAATAAATAACAGTGTAATTATATTACAGTTAGTTTACACACCAGAAATAATACCGCGGGTTGCACTTTATACCAATACGCAGAAGAGGTATCCCGAAATCCCGGGTTTGTGCCGATCCCCCCGGGTCAGTGATTAAGTTCTAGCAATTTGAATGGAAAATTTGTTGTGCGTTCAAATTCAACTACCTACCTACCTCTATTATAATATTATATCCCCGTGGCACTGCGTCGGCGGTTATACCGCAAATAAATCGATCCTTTCCTCCTAATACTTATAATCACCCTCTACCCCTTCCAATGTTGAGTTATAATAATTACTACACATTCGTGGATTATACTTATATTATTTTTGATTAAGATAATCGTTTAAGTATTATACTCACAAAATAAATTCCTATCAACAACACGATGCTGGTCAGGAAACCGAATACCGCGCACACCAACACCACCATGTGGAAAACCACTGAAGCTGAAACACATATAATAATGAAAACCATTTATATATTTTATGTTTACACAACGGTCATTAGCAAGTAGCAACGTAGCACTTGTATATAATATATAAATATACGAATGCTTGCAATTCGGACGAGGTGTGGGGTGTATATAAATTATATGTGAGCAGTGGCTCGGGTAATCAGTAGAGTAGTGCGTGTAAAGTACCTGTATATGCACATTTTAGGTCCATCGAGGTAGGTATAGGTAGGTAAGAAGGAAAGTGGAAATATACGAATTGTTCATTATTCCATCATAATATGTTTTAAAAGAGTGGCAAACATTTTTTGGGTAATTTTACCACAGTATATTTTTTCCGAGTTGCAGGTACAAATGTTTTACACATGAATAATTATTATTTATTATAATATAATATATGTCTATCTTTTTTTTTAAATACCTATTGTTTATTATTCTTATTTACACTCTGTAAAATCAGTAATAATGTGATGATATACACAATAATATATTATTAAGTTTATTGAATTATCAACAAATAACATCTTTACTCGTGTCAATCGGAACCCGTTCAGAAGCACCGTCATCAGTCTAGGGAATCATCATATTTTACAATTTCAGTAGATCTCTGATCAAATTTCTTTTGAGTGTTCTGTGGACTGTTCGACAAGCGACTTATAATTCAAATTAGGTAAGGGCGTATATACATTATACCTGAGTTGTAGCACGCGGGTAAATACCAGTGTAATGAGTGAATACTGTCTAGATTCATGAGCTATTGATGTACATAGGAACGATCGTGAAAAAATACTCGGAGTTCATTATTCTATCATAATATATGTTTTAAAAGAGTGGTTTTTAAACAAATTTTACCAATAAAATATGTTATACACATGAATAGTTATTAAAACACGAGTGTCAATTGTTTTTAAAAATAAAACCATTTATTACCAATTTTCTTATTTACATATTGCACAATATTAAGGTTAGTAATATTGTAGGTAAGTTCGATAACATTATAAATATTGAATTATCAACAAAAAATATCTTTGTACTAGCACCAACGGGAAGTCACTCGGAAACACCGCAGTCTTGTAAATCATCATATTTCATTATTTAAGTAGATGTCTTCTGAGTGTTCTGCGGACTGTTTGAGGAGGATAATAGTTGTTCTAGATTCTAATAACGGGTTGCAACAGAATGCTAGTTCAATTCACTTTGGAGTTAACAACATTGAGTTTTAGCATAAGTTAGGTATTTTTCAGTCTCCATGAAGATTTTTACTAGCAATGCACTACGGTGGTTGGCGACAAAAGTTAATTGAAGCATGCAGACAGACAAAAACGCCTGAAGGGTTTTGGTATAGAAGGGCTTTGTCACATCCCAGAATTGAATTCCGTAAGTCCAAACAGGTCGGATTATTGATTTATATATAGTGAGTTTATTTGATAGGAAAGGTTTCAATTTTAATATCGGTTTTAGCCTCTCAGGGAATGAAATACACATAAAAACATTGAGAAAATTTTACCGAAAACTGTAGAAACTGTTGCAGTACAATATGGCAAAAAAATATCATTGTTTGTAGTCTAATGGTCATTACAATGTATACTATTCATATTGTGTTCTAAATAGTATGTTTTATCATCAACAACGATAAAAATATTAAAGATAAATAATGTATTTTAATTTAGAGATTTGTTAATACGTTATGTACTAATCAAAACGAACAAAATATAATTTTTAAGTATGAATTTGTACTGTGTTTATTCAACACTCCTAAATGTAGGTATATTCAATATTTCAATATATATTTATGTTATTTATCGAATATTTGTGTTTTATTTATTGTATATTTATTCAGCTACGGATAAATAATCAGAATATTCAGTACATGATTTTTGTTTTAGTGAAATTATCAAATATTAATATATATTATTATTCAAAACATCCATTTTCAAACTGTATAATATAGAACCTATAATATGAAACGATGTAACGGACATAATGGACAACCTCGTGCCATTCCTCGGGGCAACTGGACTGCACAAACTAATTTAATAATAAATATAAACGCTCGACACAAAGCTAATGGCTCTTGAAGCCGAAGCTACGCGTTTGATAAAAAAAAAAAGTATACTCAATATAGGAAATATATAAAAAGTGTTATAAGCTTTTGTCTATTTTTTTACCTCGAGTTCAAAGTAAACGAATAACCATTATACTACGACGACTGAGTTACAACTCATTTTGAAATAAAACTATAAGTATTTTTTTTTTTTTTTTTTAATTACAACATAAACATTACTTTAATGCTCGTCTATGGAATTAAAATTATCTTAAAAAATTATAAAACCGTCACTTTTTTGAAAATAACCGATAAACCATATAACTTAACTTTAATAATATTTCAGTAATAAGTACAAAGTAAAAATACTTTTAATAAAGTATAATGAGTATTTTATTATGATGCGTTTAAATATTGCTTACTTTCAGATATTTTTTCCGGTTCTAGGAAACTCTTACTCTGTGGAGCAGTTCCATTCCCAGTCCAATATGGCCTTTCAAGATGTATAAACAACCCCAGTATGCTGGAATTTAAACTAAAATATGCCTGAAACAAACACAAAGAAGAAAAATTATTAATGTCATAATATTTTTATATTTGTTTTATTCTACATTATATTTATATTGTAATCATCATTGTGATTCTCCACATAACTTATTCCTGTTCGTAATACATAATATTTATATTAATTTTCATCTGTATAAACTGTATTACAGTTCAATGAATAGTATAATGATATTAATTTATCACGACACATTTTTGAATATCTACAAATTAAAAATATTTATAAAATATGTAATTCGCCCGCCGCAGTACGGATTAATACTTTACAATTAAAAAATGTATTAACTACGCATTTGAAAAAATATCGTTAAACTGTTTAACCACGGATTACCTTAATATTCAATTTCGCTTAATAATCTATGGCTTAACAATACACCGGAATGCTACATAAACTACCTTGGTGTCTACAAATATTGTTTTCTGCGCTACAATAATAATTTCACAAACAACCAATTTGGTACACGATTATGAACAGGTAGCTTAATATGCCGTATTCGATGCATTAATTAAAAAACTTTTCAATCAATATTATAACATATTATATATTGGCTATATTAAAATTAAATAAAACATTGTATCGTATATTATGTAGAATGCTTGAATCGAGGGAAATGTAGGGGACTTAGTAACACTATTATTTAAAAAAATATTTATGCGAACCGCTTCTAATTATATCCAAATATTTTATGAGGACCTAATCGCAATAAATCATTTCAATATTCAGGATCGTACATTTTCTTTTACACTTTTGCAACCCCTTTCTAAGTACACAAACAACCAATTAAAAATATGATTAATAACAATCAGCTAATTCCGTATTCGATGAGTTAATTAAAAACTTTTCACTACATATCCCATGACATATGTAAAATTATAAACCTATATTAATGTTGTATGAAGATGTGTAATGTGTATATATATTTAATATTAACTATAACATATCACACTTAAGTCGAAGATATATCAAAGTGTTGAAACCGTATCAAGACCCTTAGCGTTGGTTCATGGTTTTGTGATAACTATAATATGATAAATATATTATTTTTAATGTTTGAGATCTGGGATAATCTCTGCTGGTTACGTCTTTAGACCGCTGGCTTAGAACAAAATTGCTCAATGAACGAAAAAGGATAACAAAATAATATTATTCGAAATTTAGAATTGGTACTTTGGTACTGCAGTTATAGAGGGACTTTAAATATGAAACAACGATAAACCATTACTAAAGCCATTCGCTGAGCAGAGCCAAGTTTGCTAGAAAATTAACAAGTTTTTGTTAAATACGAGTGTATGGAGTTAACATTTATTTATCGTTTTGCGGGATTTCATCGAAAAATCAGACTGAAAAATTCAAAAAATAACCTCACCAAACTACAATCAGATGATAAATTTGATTTCTTATTTCTAAAATGGATTAGTCAAAACTTTTTGAGCTTTTTTACAGCGCTGAAAAGCTTTTACCGAAAAAACCACACATCATTGTAAGCTTGCAGAGCTCCTATTTCGATCCGCTAGGAATCGACAATTTACGAGTCCTTATTTCGAGAGAAGCGCCGCAACTACGACCGATGTATCGCTTTATTAGTTATTACATAAAGGAAATCATAAACTTAAATTGGGAAAAGATACTAAATAAAACAGTTTTGATAAAAAAAAAGGTGGTAAATCAAAATGGCGATACATGTCCGACATGTATACACTATACAGAGTGGCCACAAGTATCCAACATGTGCTTGTAAGCTAAGCTATAATAATATTTAAAGTCAAATATGTCATACACTTTTCCTAACGGACACCCTCAAATAGCGGACAAAATTTCAGTGACCGAGGGCATCAGGAATTTAGACGTTTCACTGTGTGATAAAATATGACGTATAATATAATTGAGTAAAATTATTTTCCTACCATATGTAATACCTACTATATATGTACTTACAATTAAAACTTTTTGAAAAAAATACGAGCTTACACTTATACTACTTGCCTGCAACAGTTCAAAGATAAATTCAATTATGCAGACAACATCTTATTCTCATGTGAAGATGCTCATAATATGTTAGCTTATATTTTGCATTAAATATTGAACGAATTAAATCAAATCAAAGAATGAAAAACGTTGGTGGTGTATTCTAAATAATTATGTTTTTACCTATAAACCTATAAAAAATAGTTTGATATTTATGGAGACACATCAAAGTTACATGCTAGATACCAACAACTTACAGGTTAAAACTTTTCTGCGAATTTACATCCCGACGGAAACGAAAATCACCAATATATTATGATTATATAATAATATAACGATGTGCACTAAAAAAGGTTTTAAGCTTTTTACAGTTTTTACAAATTTATTTTCTCAGACATCGCCTGAAAGTTAAAATTGCGATTATTCGTACCTATATAAAATACACAATACATTTTTTACATATTTTTAATGATGTGATAGGAGAAAAAATATTGTTTGACGTCACCAAAAAATAACCGCTAACGATGATTTTAATGTCATACACATTTTGTTTATAATATGAATTATTATTACTATGTTAATGTATTATGTAGTTGTTAGTTAGTGTTAGAAAACCTGCAATTAACAAATTAATAATAAAAAAAAAAATGCATAAACAAGAAAATAAGCCAATTTTATTTAAATCGTCAAATATGATAATTAATGTGCTTATTTTTATACTGTTTTAAGTGTTAACCTAGTATTTTGTTGGCCCCTTTGGTATAGTGTATCTCACTTGTGGAATTCTAAATATAAAAGTAAAACAATAATTTTGTTTTTATTGTTACAACAGAAATTATTTATGTTGTGTCAGAAGCTTATATTTTATCTTATTATTTTTGTACATTTTTAATTCACAATAATTGAAAATAAAATAATTGCTGACATTTTTTTTTAAACATAAATTATTTGGAGAAAAAATAAATAAAGTAGAACACACTCCAGATAAAATTAGATAAAAAAGTTCTTTTTCTTCTTATGAATTAATAACAAAAATTAAAATTCATAATACTGATTAATATGAAAACATATTTTAATACATTTTGTTAACTCCCTTAATAGAAATATTTAAAATTTCAATTGTAAAAAGTTAATATTTTTTTCTTTTATTTAAACTTCCCAAGTTACTTTATTATTATTATTATTATTACTCTTACAAATCGCTACTGTGATTAACGCTATTTATTTACTAAATCATATTCAATGGAATTTCAGCTCTACGATGAATAAATAATAGAATTTCATGAAAAAAATAATAATTTTTTTTTTAATGAAACATTAAATACTAAATAAAAAACCGTGTGATTAAAGGTAAATTGTATTATATTATTAAATAAGAACGAGACTAAATACAATTAAATTTATGCAATTTAAAATAGAAAACCTCTTTGCATTTTTTTTTTTTTTTATTAAAGTGAAAAAAATAAACGTGTAAATTATTTGTGTGTAAAACGCTGCAAAACGTACAAATTTAAAATTTTTATAACTATCAAGGAATAACCACAAACCAAACTAATAGTACGTTTTAATTTTAATGTATGAGTTGAAAATTAATCCCCCTTCTACAGATATTGTGACCTGTGGTTGACATCCCTACTGCATATGCCTACGATGTTAATTGGTTTAATTTTGTTTTGTGAAATAGTTTAAACTTTTAAGTAATACTAAGTGAAATAATCATAGTAAAATTATGAATACAATTTTTTCTTCCAACCAGGTAGTACCAACAAAAATTTTTTTATGTTTTCTCAAACTATTTTTTACGGCCATTATTGTGTACCTATAAATATTAAAAATTTTTTTTTTTAATTCAGAACTCTTCTGTGACCCTATGAGTAAAACGCCCCAACTATATAATTACAATATTATTATGTAAACATAATTGGCAAGCCATGGTTTCAAAATATTGGAGCCAAGAAAATATCAATAGGAGCAAAATAAGAATAATAATAACAACAACTCGTAGGTCTTAAATGTATTGAAATCTTATCACAATATGCGTAAATGCATAATGCAAGTATACTTATAATAATTTCAAAGAGTACAAATTAAAATTTTTTTTGATATTGTATGAATATTTGAGGAGCCTTATAATAAATGTTCATACTTCGTGACCCAACGAATACAATTTTATTGGCATATGTCAAAAAGAAAAAAGGGAAACAAATTGAAAATGCCCGCAAACAGCTCAAAACAAGTCGAAATATTTTTTAAATTGTACCAAATATAGGAAATGACAAACAAATATTTTATATACATTTTTAGTAGTTGCAGTTAATCGTTTTTTAATTACAACAAAATAAGAAAATGGTTTCCCTAGAAATCAAGTGAATATCCAATATTGTAAACATTTGAACTATGAAAGATCATTAATATTTAATTCAACTTTTCGGTAGACATTTTTTTTTATGATAAAAAAACCTAAATAGAAAAATAAAGAAAAGCCTTAAAGATAAACCTTTGAGGAATCTTGCATATATTTTCCAATCCTAAATATAAAACTATACATTTTTTATGAATTTCTTACTCAAAATAATTTGCAAATATTCCCGAATTTTAAGAACTTTGTCAAATTTTTAACTTCAAATGCTCATCAAAATTATTTATACTCAATTTTTTTTAAATTTAAACTTACAACTTACGCTGAACTTTCTATTACAGTTTCAGGTTTTATGACAAATCAAAACAATTTCAATCGACAATAATCAAATGAAACTAATACAAATCAAAAAACTTATATACCTATAAGTAAGTTAATATGAGTCAAAATATTTTGAAAAATTGAACGGTTAATAAGAAATTCTAAAATAAACACTCGGTGTACATTGTATGTATCCACGGTATTTTTAAGAGGTATACCAAAAACTAAGAACGATTTGGTCGAAAACCGATTTTGTGTAAAAATCTCATTTTTTCCATGGCTTAAATATACAAGGTTATTGCACATAGCCAAATTGTTATCATATAAAAATAAAAT